GGAGGAAGGGGCAGAGGGAGGGGGAGAGAAGCAGCCTCCCCACTGAGCACAGAGCCTGACACAGGGCTCGACTGCAGGACCCAGATTATCATGACCTGAGCCAAAGTCAAGAGTCGGATGCTTAACCGACTGAGCTCCCCAGGGGCCCCCGGTAGTTTGGCTTATTGATCCTAATTCATCCCTCACCTGGAGTAGAAGCAGCACTGATTACCACGTGACTTTGCAGTGCCTCCCACTGTGGGTGAAATATACTCCCCCCACCCCTGGGAAGTTGGGCTTGAGCAAGATAGTTACCAGACGTGGCACGTGAGCCGACACTTTAAATGTGTTGCATGGTATGGTTTGCCCTCTTGAGCTTCTGCCATCACTAGGACAAGAACAGGTCCCAGGTGGCTGTAGTCACATCAGCCAGGGCTCCAGACCTGCACAAAATCTGTGACCTGGAGCTCTTTCCATCTCCAACTGTCATAGCGAGAGGAGCTGCTGCCATGTCCGTCCACCTGCAATGGATGGTCAGGCAGAACTGCTCCAGCTTCCTGATGGAGAGGAACAGGCAGACATACAACACCGACCCCAATAATCTGAAGGCAAACAAGTCCTTCCACTACAACGGGCTGATGCACCACTGGACTCTGGGCATGGAGCCAGGACCTGACAGCAAAGGTATAGTGGTGGTCATGAAGCAGAGATCCCGCCAGTGAAAACCCATCACCTCCTACTTGCGGACCACCGTGAACCAGAATGCCCGGGCCACCCTCGGCAGCATCAGGCACATGATCTGCAAGAACAAGTACTGCCCAGATCTGTGCGTGGCTGCCATTTGCACAACCAGAGCCATCCTGCACAGTCAGAAGCCCGTGATGGTGAAGAGGAAGCGGACTGCCCCACCAAGAGCTCCTGAGCACCAGCCCCCCACCTCCAAAGCAATAAAGATGTCAACCGCCTCAAACAAACAAACAAACCCCCCCCCCAAAAAAAACCCCTGTGACCTGGAACCACTCCCGGCCAACCCGCAGCCTGAAATAGCCAAGCCCAGCCAAGATCAATCGACCCCCCACAACCCTGCAGGACCATGAGCAAGAAAAATAAATGCCTGTTACTGTAAGCCACTGAGTTTCGGAGTGTTTGTTCCACAGCATTATTGCAGCAAGAGCTGACGATTACAATGACCAATATGCAACATGCAGATTAACCCTGGGGCCTTGTTTGGGCTGTTTGTCACCACTCAGCATCCAGCGTGACAGGTGAAGAATGCTGAGGGAGAGAGGCAGTCCCATAACTTGGACAGCATCTGCCTCAAATGGTTTTTCACCTTCAGCAAATGGCCTATTATGAGTGCCATGTTGAGTGAATTTACAGATCACATTAAGTCGCTCTAACCAAACTAATCATCACCAAATGGGCAAGGGGCTTGAAACGGTTCCTCTAAGGAAACCGTGGCTTGAAGATAGTCCTGTAAAAGGAAGCATAAGCTACGAAGAAACTGGCAGAGCTCACAGTTCTCCTACTTTGAGAGCTAGTTCATTTTAAAATTTTCACACTTACGGAGATAATTTGAAATATGGCTTTTTGACTTCTATTGTTAATAATGGACCTCACACATAGGCATATGGCCTTATGATCTTAGCAAAAAGCATTAGCACATGAATGTAAGTTATAAGCAAATAAACATATAGTGGGGAAGGGTGCTAAAAATGTTTCACTGTTGGGGTTGAGACCATTTGAAAGTCACTTGAAAGTCAGCTCACAAAAAAGAAAAGAAAAGAAGGAAAGGAAAGGAAAGGAAAGGGGCGCCTGGCTGGCTCAGTCAGGAAAGCGTGCAACTCTTGATCTCAGGGTCGTGAGTTTGAGTCCCACACTGGGTGTAAGAGATCACTTAAAAATACAATCTTTTAAAAAGAAAACAGGAGGTCAGCTCACCATATCGAACTGATTTATTAACTTGTTGAGTGAGTTCATTTGTGTTCAACGTTGTAGAATTATGATGGTGCTATCGTTGAACACGGGGAAGGCCTGTCCCCCCGAAGCACAGAGCGTAGACCCATGGGCTCTCCAGTGTTGTGTTGCGCTCACACTGTTT